AAAATCAGTCAAAATCAATAAACCTTCAACCTTTTACGCCTTAATCCCAACAAATGCAAATTTTAAATTCATTAAAGTAATATAATTGCATACATATATGACATTAATCATCTAATATCTTATTTCTTTAAATCCTTTAAAATAATACAATTATATTTATATATATCCTTAATCATCTTGAATTCCAATGAATATTTTAGTAATCCAAAAATTTAAAAACATAAGCTTCAAAAGCACTCCTTTTTCCCAACTCTCCATCTTACATTCCTTCCCAATTTTTCATTCTTTTTCACATCATTGATACAAAATCAGTCAAAGTCAATAAGCCTTCAACCTTTTACGCCTTGTGCCTTTTATATTTTATAACGTGTCTGAAGTTTTTGCAAGTAGTAAGCCTGTAAGCTTTTTTCAAAATCCCAAGCAGCAACATCTTCAGCTGGTTTTCTCCAATGCAGGACCCATAGATTGATTCCATATAAACGCTTTTTCCCCAAAATTTCACCAGGGAAGTACACCAAAATCATAACCAAGTCTATTACCACTTCCTTTCCCAGCTTCTCAAACTTATCAATTTCCAAATCTCCACAATTTTGCTCATTTTGAAGTATTTCCATAACATCTTCTTCAACCTCTGCGATAAACCTCTGGAGAATAAATGCCACAATTTCTTCCAATTTCTTCATCCAAATATCTTTAATTTCCTCGTTATATTGCTTGACTACTTGCATCACAGCATCTTGTACATCATTCATAATCAAGGAGAAAGGCATTTTCAATAAATCCCAAGCAATAACCAAAAAGAAAAAACAAAAAAAAATTACTTTCTCACATTTTCTTTCTTTTTTTCCCTCAGTTCCGGAGCCATTTTAAAACCATTCTTCAAATTTCTTTAAGTATCATCAAAAAGAGTAACAATATTAATATCACCAATCAGTAAGCATCATAAATTCATTGTGGTTAAAACTTTCCAGAACCGGAGAAGCAACAATGTATCTTTATCCTGTTGA